TGAACACCAGAACCAATCAGGTAAAGGGCAGTGTGTAGAGAATGATGGCTTACAAAATATTTATATGTAATTTAAACTAGGTGCAACAAACCAGAAAACAAATAAAAACCCTGTACTTTAGTTCCAAAAGTTGTCATTAACATTTTTTACAATAATTAAAAAGATCCACTTTTAGATAAGTCTTTTGACTTCAATTAAAGTAAAAATTGAGACTATCACGGTAATAAATGGCCAATATAGGATTTGCTTCCATCAGTAATTTTGCCTGTTCCAGTTATCTTTTCAATACCACATTATACAAATTCAGGTCTGTTCAGACTTCAATTTATTAGCCATGGCATAAAGGGCTTGGACCTGTTCAAAACCCTGCATCAAACAAACCATGTAAGTCATTAACATTTCTATCTATAGTACAGCTACTAAGACACTCATAGCCAATGTGTGCAATGCTATATCATCCTTCTGTATGCTATTCAAACCTGGACTTCTCTTATTGATCTAAATTTTATCTTCCCTTTGCCTTAGCTTCTTCTATCCATTTATATTTTTTTGAATGGTGTTTCATGTACTTTTGGAATGAAGAGAAAATTACACACACACACACACACACACACAATACAAATGCACAAAGGTAATTTTCCTAACAGATACCACAGAACACATTTAATGTGGAAAACGTTAAGTACACAAATAACTATAGCATTCAACCAACCAAACAGCCAATGGGTGCTCACTGGTGACCCATGTAGGTCAGAGTGGAACTGACAAGGACTGATTCTAGAGGTAGATGGCCAGCCTTTCCTCCCGAGCACCTTGAGAGGGACGTGAATCTGAAAACTTACAGGTGAGCCTGCCAACCAGTCACAGAAGGCATGACCTCTAATTGCAGCACCGCCACTCCCAGAAACCCATGGCCACAGCGTCAATTCTGACGCGGAGAAGACCTCTAGGGCAGAGTAGAACTGCTGCCAGGGTTTGAGGCTGAAATTCTTAACGCAAGCAGACAGGTTCATCGTCTCCCTACATATTCAGTTCAAATGTAGAAATGCTGTCACATCTGTATTACCTGACCCCCCCCAAGCCCACCTTCAAGGCTTCTCGATGTTGCATATATTATTTTTGGCTTGGGTATAGGAAACACCCATTTCAGACTAAGGATCACTATAGACTGCTTTTCTTGTAGTAGTACACAGAACAATTTGGAAAATCTTATCAGAAATGGTTTCTTTCTTACTACCTGGTTTAGAAGACTACTTAAAAACAAATGAACAAACAAAAAACCTAATAAAAATACTAAGCAATTTTATTTTAATCATTAAGATTTTCAAGTTTTAATCAAGGCAGCGAAGTTCATTTCCTTCAGATATGCCTGGGTCGGTGTAAAAATATGTGGAGGCTTGGTTTCTCTCTGTAACATGAAGTTATGGGCAGGGTGAAAAATGAGTGTGAAGGAATTGCTTACACATTTTTGACCCACACACTGAGTGGGGAGGGCGACATAATATATTTACTTCAACATGAGAGCTATTTATTAAATGGGATCTTATGCCATTGCTTCTTTCTTACTTACAGGAAAAAGCCATTAATGGCAACCAAAACAAAACACCTTGAGGAACTAAAAAGATTAATAAAATCTACCTTCATTTTCCTCTGAGTCATTGGTCTTATCTTTGAACTAGCCTTACCATTTCAATATAAGCATCCAAATAAAAGAGGAGAAAATAGGAAACGGTAACTAAATAGTCAGTCCCCCATTTTGCTGATTACATTTATGTTTCTGTTAAGAATAAAATCTTCTTTACGATACTTTGAGCAAATAGGAAATGATTGTGAGGAAAAGGGTATGGGTAGGTGTGAATTCTCTTTTTCAAAATCTTTAGATTTTGATACTCCAACTAGAAACTGGAAGGCTCAAAGAAGTAACATAATTGAGACCTTGGTGATCTTAACAGCCACGGTTTCCTCATGGCTCTGCCCGCACAGTAGCCCAGTGGTCGTGGAGCAGCTACCTGCCAACAGTTTTCTGACGTCCACTAACAGTGTGATGGGGGAAGTGGGTGAAAGGATGGCTAGAAATGCAAAGATGGAAGGGGCGAGTCTAGCGGTAAGATAACCTTACTTGAGAAGGTCCAAATAAACGAGGAGCTTCCCTGTCGCTTGTTATTCAATCAATGAGCATTTGACTGAGTGTTAGGCATTGCGAGGCGAGCTAAGGCAGGCGCAGAGACTAATGGCTCTGCCTAAGAGATTTGGGAACTACTGAAAGGTGGGAGGAGATGAGCCCTGAGCTACGGAATCAAGGAAACGTGGGAATCCAATGTGAGATGAGAGCTGGACAACCTAAACAGATCATCATTCCCACTACCCAAATGAAGAAAGTCACCTTTCTTTGTTATTCTTAAGAGTACGTAATTGATTCCCATCCCACCGCCTGGCTCGCTTCATTCTATTGAGCATACTGAATTTTCTGCCAAATGCTGCCCTACAACACCTGTCAGGCTAACAGGTGCAAGGTGATCATTACCCAGGTTTCAGGCTCTCTCGAATTAGACGGCAGCTGCGCCCTTCCAACCCAGGCCAAGAGACCTGTTAGGACATGCTGTACACACCACAGAAGCTCCTTCTGCCCCGGGTCCTACTACAGGCTGGGGTCTGTGTCTGCGCATACACGTTTGTCACCCGCCTCCTCTCCACCTTTGTGCCCATTTCTGATTGTGCCTTTAATTCATGCAGCACTCACAGGCTGATTTCTATAACAAGCACTAGGAAACAGCAACGTTTAGTGACAGAGTATTAGTTGGAATATGTGTTTTTTAAAAACTTTGAAATTAGCTACATTAAAAATTTAACATTGATTTAATATTTTTAAACTAACAAAAGTTCAGAAATAAAGGATTTTAAGGTGTGTAGATTCCAACTACACCTTATTGAACAGCTGTGAACTTGGCATGCTTCTCCAGACGGCTCTCTTAAACAGAGTTACAGCTTCAGTCAAAGCCTCGTTCCTGATATGGGCCTGTTCCCTCTCTGCCTAGACTCTCTCCAGTCAGAGCAAGCTCTTATTATCTACTGTTCCCTGCTGGTTCTTACTCATTGTCAAGCATTCTAGACTTTGTTTTCAAACATCTGATTGTGAACTCAAACTTTTCTTAAAGAAAACAATATATGTAATTATCTAAAAATAAACATTGTTTTTATAGAAAGAATACATGTGAACTCATTTTTATGGTATGAGTTTGTCGTTTCTGAACAATAAGGGACTCCTAGCCTCCCTGTGGAGGAAGTTAAGAGGAGGGTTAAGGGTGCATCCCTTTGAAGGTCATGGCTTAAGGCATTAATCCAATGTTCAAACTTGTGACTTTGAGCCTGTCCAAGGTCTCATTCTTACATTCCCACATTCTTACAAAGACTCAAATCATTATTTAGTGTTTTATAACTGACCCCAGACCCTGCAGCTGAGGCAGCTGAAGTGCTTCTAACTCCGGCTTATAATGGTCTCTCCATTCCCCATTCTAAGTGCATGGCTATCTTCATTTCTTTATTGCCACTCCCTCCAGGTACTGGCTTTTATTATTGTTATTGCTGCTGCTATATAGCTCGTATTTCTAGGAGTTTTAGCAAGATAATTTCTATTTTAGCTTAGGTAGGTAGCTAACTAACTATATTGACCTAACAAAGAAGTCCAAAATGAATTCTGTAGATCTATTATTAATGTTCTGATTACTCTAAAAACTATATTTTTCTAAATTAGTTGGCTTATACTGCTGGAATTGAAACTTATTCTGGATTTTTAAAAATGATGAAATATTTTATGTTTCTTTTTGAAAATTTTACTGAACTTATTTGTATACTTTATCCGTTGGAAACAAACCAATATTCACAATTGCAAAGGGAGCAGAGAAGAACAACTTACTAGCCAAAGAGATTTAAAAATTCATAGCAACAATGCGCTCGAAAGGGTAATCTACAAGTAGAGCTCCGTTCACGAGAAGGTCCTGACGTCACAATGAGTGGCAGTGAATGACTGAGGGACAGGGCAGCATGCCTGCACCTTCAGAAGAGTAGGCAAGAGAAACTAGGAAAATATGAGCGAAGTCTTCGTCTTTTTTAAAAAAAAAGTAATTAGAATTTTTGGCTTTCCCTTTCTCCAATTAATATGTCTCCCCTCTAGTTAGAGATTAGACAAGACTAAGCAATGGTTTTGAAATAGTATAAAAGATGCTATTTACATGAAGAACAAAAGTGGCAGTTTTATACTTTTTACACTTAATATATTTGAACAAGCTAAGTTATAAATATTATCTGTTTTAATCAAGGATTGAGAGAAAAGTTTAAAGAACAAATTAGTTTTTGTTCAACAATTTGTATACATTTTCTTTCATAACTTTAGCTGCAATTCCACCTCCAACCGGGGGTCCCCAGGCCGATTTGTCTGTTATCCTGCCCTTCCTGGCTACTGAGCTTTGTTTGCAGGCAGAGCTGCCCTTTCGGTCTTGTATGGTTGATTATTATGAGTGCGTTTATCACTCTTCAGAGTTCTAGGAAGACCCAAAGTATATCCCGCGCCCCCCGGAACTTATTAAATGTCATCCCTTAGAAATATTTCTTAGTAAATTGTGAAGCAAAACAAAAACAATCTGTTAGTAGGTCTTCCAAAGCAACAACCAATTTGAAGTTAACGGCTCCAAATGAGTTAGTTTCAGTTGTGATCAACATAACACAACTCTGGATGCATAAGCAATATCAAGTGTAGCAGCACATAGAAAGCATTAGCAGCTACAGCTATGAAAAAATTACAAACCCCATGTAGAAGACTTCAAGCATAGGACTGAAAGATAATCCAGTTTTTTAAGAGGAGCCTCAAAATTAGATACATTGACATTTTTGATATTATTTCAAGAAAACATGCTACCGCTAACAGAACTATCTGCGGTGTCCGAGAACACATAATAAGGCACACAACTTGAGGGCATGTAAAGAGCGAGCCACTGGCCCTGTACCTGGTGCTGGCGATGCTTGGTGATTCTGCTCCAAGCCTACATCTTTCGAGCTGACTGGCAACAATCTGCCTTTCCACTTCCAGTTCTCGGGTGAGGCGTTGAAACTGAAGCTCCTGTGATTCAAGGAAATAAAAGCAAGTGAAGGGCCGAGGACTGTTGTTCAAGCATATTTACGAATGAATGTACATCACATGAAACATAGGAACATGCCTATAACACAGCATTTACCGCAGCTTTGTGGAATTAGGATCTTTGATGGTATTGTTTGTTTACATGACCTATGATTTGTAGTTTTTTAAAGGTACTAGGTACATCAGCGGCTGTTTGGAACTGGAAACATGCAGACAATTATTTGTCCCTGTTGATGTAGGAGGGAATGCGAATTGAGGTCTCATAAGTGCTATTATGCTGCAGTGTTCTATACAACTGAAGATTTCCAAAGACTGTACTTGATGTTTCTACATCAAGGGCACACCAAACAATGTAAGTTCTTTATCCTCAATGGCTAATTTTCAAGAGCAGATCACATCCAAGCGCTGATTGAGGTGAAAACACAGAAGACTGGGCCATAGTCGCTCCGGGGGATCGCCAAGGCGCTGTGGCTTTGCATTATGGTTGGCCTTCTCTTCTGCTAATCTTCCCACTAAGTATTCCACATGGAAAACTCCATCTTAATGAGAACTCGACCTGAGATAAGCATTTCCTTGGCTTCCTTTTATAGAACGATAGAAATTTTCTCTCACCCACAATGGAAATATTGTGAGATGCTTCAGATGTGTAGGCAAAAAACACAATAAGCTTCTGTGAACTTAACCAAAGTACAGCGCATTTTAAGAGTTTTACCGCATTTCCCATAGTCCATGAAAAATAAAATAAAATAGTACACGTAATCTGGTTTCTGGCTTGTGGATTTAATTCCCCTCTTTTCCATCCTCCTCCAAAGTAATCAGTATGTTGATGTTTATTATGTACATGAGGATTTTGCACTACTGCTGCTACATAATTGGAGACATAGATGATATATATGATTGATTTGCATGTTCACACAATCTACATCAATGCAATAGTGTAAATTTTCTGCAGATTTCTTTTATTGCTCAGTTAATTTTGAGGTCCATAAATACATGCAAGGTCCAGTTAATTTATTTTCATGGCTCAAAAATATTCCATTTTATGAATATAGTACAATGCATTGATACGTTCTCATGATGGCCCCTTTGGTTGTTTCCAGTTTTATACAACTGTCAGCACACTGTAAAATAAGCATCTTTGTATAAACCTCTTCTGGAGAAGGGTGGCATGAATAGAAACCTCTCAAAATTAAAATTCACTGCCATCAAGTCAATATTGACTCAGGGATCCTAGAGGACGGGGTAGATTTGCCCTTACGGGTTTCTGAAATTGTAACTCTTTTGGGGAGTAGAAAGGCTTATCTTTCTCCTCCGAAGGTGCTGGTGGTTTCAAACGGATCTTGCAGTTGGCTGCCAGCACAGGACCCACACGGCACAGCCACGGCTCCTCGAGTCACCCCGAAAGTGGAACTTCTGGGTGCTGTTGTGAAGGGTATGTGTACTTTTTCATCTTTGCTTGATAATGGTTATCGATCTGCTTTCTAAAGTAGTTGTACCCATTTATATTCCAATCACCAATTTCTCTGCACACTCACCAACATTGATTTAACTTCAGGGCTTAATTTTTTTGAGGCGAGCCGGGGTGGATGGGTGAGTTTAGTAATCTGATAAGCATAGAATGGTATTTTGTACTTCCATGATGGCCAACATATTTTCATGTTTCTTGACTAAGTTTCTGAATCTCACAGGTATTGTGAAGTCTCAGGAGGTCGTGTCGTGCCCCAGGTTAAGAACATATTTCTGCTTATCCTTTCCTATGGAGGTGGTCTTTCATCTCTCCTTACCCGAAGGTTGTCCCCTCATGGTCAAGGTTCTAGCCAGAGAGCTCTCAGGAGACACCCCTAGGGGCAACCCCTTCTGTGATCTCTGAAATCAGGTCACCTTAGTTTGTCACTTTCAAGGGAAAGTCAGGTTTATTGCTTACTTACCTCATGATTCCACTTTCATTTCAATTTTGATTTCTGTGAATTCCTTATTTTCTGTGTAACTTACTCTTGCTTAAAAATGACAGCTTTTTCTTCAAACATTTTATTCAGCATAAAAGGTTTCTTAATCAAATGAGGCTTTATGTTGGTAAGTAATTTGACGGCCCTTTCCAATAGAAACACAAAGAAAACTGCGCATCTCTTCACAAGGCTATTGTCACTTTCTTCTTGCTTCTACAAGCTCTAGGTAGCTCGCTGTCCTCCAGTACTGGTATGGAAAACAAAAAACCTAAATTCACTGACATTCTGGCAATTCTGAATCACAGCAACCCTATAGGACAGAGCAGAACTATCCTTGAAGGTTTCTGAGACTATAAATCTTTACAGTAAATCTTTAATGCCTTTTCTTTCTCCCCTGGAGGAGACAGTAGTTTTGAACTACTGACCATGCGGTTGCCAGCCCAACTTGTGATGCACTGCACGGCCTCCTCGACCTCCTAGGTTCTCCCACTCTCATTCATTGTCACTGTTGAAAGTGATCATCTATCTCCAGACCCATTCCAACTGTGTTCTCATGAAGCCCCATTCGAATGTATAAACTTTCTTTATAAGCCCTTGTTTTTTTCTCAGGAAGCTCCCTAACTCTGGACTTTCATTGAAATGTGTTCTTTACTGGCAACACCTTATTTTTTTTTTTCACACAGCCTACTCTGGGGAAAGACTATTAATTCTTGCACTTTTCACACCTAAGGTACCTTATATGAAGGCTCCTTAGCCCAGTGCTGTGTATAGTATTCCTCATTATGTTCACGTTGCCAGGAGGAGCTGTTGTGGCAGGTAAGTTGTGTTTGCTTTCCCCTTAATCAGTAAAGAACACTCCGCTTGCAAAATGTGCAAACTTTACTTTATTCTGACCATCCAGCAACAACATCCACTGCCCATTTTCATCTTTAGTATCGATTTGCTTCAAGTTGCTTGGAGTCACTAAGCATTCTGGAAGAGCTGCATGGAGCATGACAACGACGATGATGACAATAAATAGTAGCAGGTACTCAGATCACGCCATCAGTTTGACATCATCAACTTCTTCTCCCTATAGTCCCAGGTCCCTCCCAGGTTTAATACCTCCGCCTTATCTAGGCTAGCCCACCAAAGCCTGCGGTATCCTCCAGAATCCTGTTTCTCTCCTCCAAACCTGTTCCTGTTGCCTCTCAGTTTATAAATGTGCCTAAATTGTCCTCACCTGAATACATACAGTCTCGGGACTTCTCTAGCTTTCTTTTACTCTGTTTCTGAGCCCTTTGACTCATAGTACTTGTTACTAAGCACTGGTTTTTCCAATGGAAATTGACTCCTTAAAATGTAATATCGTCCAAGGTACTAAAATCATGGAACTGATTTCTATGCCTTTTATATTTTTTCCTAACACGTAACATTTTAAAAAATTGTCCATCTGTATACTAAAGCTACCTCTTATCAGTTACGTATATGTGTATGTCACAGTGGAGTTCAACATACTATTTGATGTCTATAAATCTCAGCAGGAAAGAAATGAATAGTAATTAAATTCCATGGCAGGGTGTGTGTGTGTGTGTGTGTGTGTGTGTGTGTGTACAGT